CCGCCCTACTGATGTCGTTATTTTATTTTTCCTCTGTTTGAACTCTTGAGCTCATTGAGTAACATCCAGCATATATTGTTTATAGATAGAATTAAGGGGATGCAGCAAACTCATTGATCAGAGACTAGGTGGCTCCCAGTTTAGTGAGGCAGGTAAATTGTGCTAGTACTGGTGGGAAAAAAGGAAGTCACTAAAGTTATGTACCAGGGTAGCCACCGAGTTAGCCTTTTTGGGGCTCATCCACACTTATTTTAGTTGTATAATTTTTGTTCGTTGTTTACAGCCTCCTCTCAGCGTTGCAGCCTACTCTCGAGCGGACCTATCGAAGACTCCTCCTCTCCCCGTGGCCTCTCTACTCATTCCTCACACCCGACGTATCCTTCTACAGGTATTTTTTTAACGTAGGCTTAGCCAACAAACCCTTACGATGTCAAATCTTTTGTATACTACATAAATGTCATCTTTAATGCAATTCAGGGTGGTTTCCTGGAATGTTAAAGGCCTCCGCTCCCCACATAAGAGGTCAAAAGTCTTACGCCATTTAGCTAAGCTCAAGACATAGCAATGCTTCAGAAGACCCACCTCTCCCTAGCTGATCTTCCTCGGCTAAGGAAACTCTGGGTTGGTGCTGTCATTGGATCCCCCTCGGATGGTAGGAAAGCGGGAGTAGCGGTCCTACTATAGATGCGGAGGGTTGCAGAATTAGAATACACCTTCGGCTCTATAATACGGACTACGTACTTTATAATATATATGCCCCTAACTCCCCAACCAATGCATTCTTCCAGGAAATCACTCAGATGGTTGCCCAAGAACAATTTGACAACATCATTCTAGGAGGAAGCATGAATTCAGTAATGTCTACCCTGGAAGATAGGCGATCGCCTAAAAGTAGGGATAGACCTATCTCTCAGACAACACAGTCCACCCTGAAACTCTTTCATGATACGCTGTCTCTCCGTGATGTGTGGAGATTGCGCAATCCTGAAGTGAGAGAATATACTCATTGCTCCATGGTACACGACTCGCTCTCCCGTATAGACTACCTTTTCTGTTCTACCGCCCTACTGCCAGCCACGAGTGCCACTATCCATTATATTGTAGTGTCTGACCATGTACCTATTGAACTTCTACTTCGCACCACACTCCCCAAGGGATCTGCAAAATTGTGGAGATTCCACTCACGTCTCCTCAAGGACTCTTCCTTCAGGGAAACGGTTAGGACGGCTTGGTGGGACTATGTCGCCACCAATACAAATTCTGTCCCCCTAACCAATAACTGGTAAGTCGTGACCCAAAAGTGGATCGCGACCCCGTGTTCAGTGGGTCACCACTGTGCCTTCCACTTTTCTAGGCATGCCTTTCACTTTTCTAGGTGAGAGGCTCCTCAGCCTCCCCCTAGCACAGTACACATACATTCCTTACAGCTCCCTTGCATGCCCTGTAGAGCTGCCTGGACCGGAGTGATGTCACATTTTGGCTCCCAGCACCTCTACAGGGCATGCAAGGAAGCTGTTTTTTTTTTTTTTTTTTTTAAGCCAGTGGAGCGTGCTTCGAAAACGAAAACCCTTGTGAACAAAAAGTGAATCGTGGAATCACAACACACGCCAAAAAGTGCACAAGGGCGCTGGCCCTTAAAGAAAGGGCCACTATTTCCCGACCCCCCCAGGGCGCAAGGCTCCTGACAGGGGTTCAGACTGTTTTGGTCCACCTACCCGAAGGCCGGCGGACCCCCATCCTTTGGGCACCTGCCGGAACAGGTCCCTCACAGTACTAGGTAGGGGGCTCTCCCGAAGAGAGACCCCCCCTGGGTGGGAGGAGACCGAGAACCCTATATTAGGGCACAGAATCTCCTCCCCAACATTGGGAAAAGGCCCCGAAGGAACCTGCACCCTCAGTCATCTGTGGGTCAAAATTTCAATCAAAAAGTGCCAATCATGCGTGAGGTGCAATAAATAAATAAAAAGTGCCAGTGCACCACGCTGACAGGCCCTAGGGGCCTGAGTGCAAAAATATTGCCCCGGAATAGCCATAAGGCCTGTCCAAGAGGCGTTGTGCAGAGAAATGCAATAGTGCTGTGTCCATGTGCACAGTGAGTCACAGTGGGGTCCCACACCCTAGTGACTTTCTGAGCGCCCCTGGGACGACACTCCCAGGGGGCACAGCACCACAGGCTCTGCCGCCCCCCAACCCTCCAGCCACTGCCAAGCTTTTCTCCATTCCCATCGGAAGGTAGCACCTTCAGAGATCCCTCCACCGGAGCCCACCCATTGCAAAGGGTCAAACTACAGTGGCCTGGAACCTCCTCGAGCACCCACCAATTACGCTAGGAATTACTAAACGGCCATCATCCTCTCTCCATAGGCGACGGCCGCCGTTCTGCCCCGACAACTGATGAGAACAGATACTACACTTGATCTGAGCCAAAAGTCCGAGAAGGCCGGCATGCAAGGAAGCTGTACAGGCTCCATCACTGCACAGCAGCACACACTGGACCCCAGGCTGAGGATCCACTCCAGTTCTCATAAGATAGGGAGACTGGCTGGATCTTAAAAAGAAAAATTAATTAAATTATTTTTTTGGGGGAGTATGTGTATGTGTGTGAGAATGTCTGTCAGTGTTTTTGAGGGCCCGTTCACACTAAAACGGTGCGTTAATTACACAACCCTGTGCAATTAACGCACTGTACAATGCAATCGCACCTACAGCATTGTGGTGCCGGAGGTGTGTTGCCATTAATTTGAATAGCACCCCAAACGCACCTCCCACCCACAGTTTGATTGCCGCATCGGAACGCTTGGTACCGCAATGCCGTGCGTTCCATTGCAGTGCAACTTGGGTCGCGACTTAATGACCAAGGACAAATGTGGGTCCTGAGGTTACACAGGTTGAGAACCACTGCTCTAGAGAAACTGCTACGCAGAGAGGTCTACTCTAAGCTGGTTTCTACTTATTATGTAGAACTGATTGCCACTAGATCCTCTAGATCAGTGGTTCTCAACTTGTGTAACCTCAGGACCCACATTTGTCCTCAGCCATTACGTCGTGGCCCAAGTTGCACTGCAATGGAACGCACAGCATTGCGGTACTGCGCGTTCCGATGCGGGCGATAGAACTGTGGGTGGGAGGTGCATTTGGGGTGCCATTCAAATGAATGGCAATACAATGCACTTCTCATACCAAAACGCCTGGTAGGTGCAATTGCGAGGTACAGTGCTTGAATCGTACGGGACTGTGCGATTAACGCACTGTACTAGTGTGAATGGGCCCTCAAAAAAACACACAACCACAGACACAATCTCTCACACACACATTCACACTCCCAAGATCCACCCAGTCTCCCTACCTTATGAGAACTGGAGCGGATCCTTAGCTGGGGCTCCGGTGTGAGCTGCTGCACTGCGATGGACCTTCATCCATATGTGAATTGCTTGTACAGCTCCCTTGCACACCCTGTAGAGCTGCCGAGAGCCAGAATGTTACATAACACCGGTCCAGGCACCTCTACAGGACATGCGAGGGAGCTGTAAGCAATGCACGTATGGACAGAGCTCACCCAACCTCAAGCTGACCCTCGGCGCTGGACAGCATATTTTGAATGGCTGCTTGGCGCAAGAACTGACAGTGCTGCGCTAGGGGGAGGCTGAGGAGCCCCTCACCTAGCACGGTGGAAGGCACACGGGGACCCACTGAATACAGGGTCGTGACCCACTTTTGGGTCACGACCCACGAGTTGAGAACCAAGGCTCTAGATATAGTAAGCGGAAATGGCAGAATCTTCTCCCAGACTTAAACCCTAATGACTAGTACGATTTTGAGGATACCTATAAGTCTTCCCTAGGGATAGAAATATAAAATTAAGTTCCTATCAGGTCTATTATACTCCATCGCTCCTGTGTACCCTGGGCCTCCGCGCCTGTTCATACTGCTTTGAGCGGGAGAGAGCGGATTTCTTTAATTCCTTTTGGGGTCCTGCCCGTTGATACGTGCCTTCTGGTCGGACATTACCACATACCTGGAAATGGGTCTGGGTCTTCCCAATGTGTGCAATCTATTGTTTTGCCTCTTAGGGCTATTTGGTGAGCTCACATTAGACTCTGGGGCTGGGCGTCTTCTCCAAATTCTCCTTTTTTATGCTAAAAACCCATTCTTCTGGTGTGGAATGGTCCTGAGGCTCCATCCTCGAGTTGCTGGAAACGTATAGTTGACCAACCTCTCCCTCTCTACAAGATAACCTATGAACAGAGGGGTAATCCGCAGCTCTTTGATCATATATGGGGTCCATGGTTAGCGTCTAATAGCACGACGGTTGATCTGCTTTGACTTTGTATCTGGAAATGGTATAGTCCTGATATCTCTTTTTATTCAGATGTACTGTGGACTGTACATGAGGCATTGTCTTTCTTTGATTTCATTACTAGCTACCCCTATTTTCCACAGCAGTTTCCCTCCCTGATACATACATTGTGCTGTATAATCGGAATTTGCAGGACTAGACCTCAAACTGTGCAGCAAAAAGCCTATAATTGCAGACAGAGGTATAGGATCTTATGGTGTTAATTCTTCCTGAGGATGGGGACAGAGTGTGGAGTTAATTGTAAAGTGCACATATCCTTTAAACCCGGTGTGGGTAACTACAGCCCACCAGCTGTGCTTTAACTACAAATCCTAACATGCCTCATAACAGTCAGATTTGCAATGCCTCATTGGATTTGATTGGACTTGTAGTTCCATAACGGCTGGAGTTGCCCATCCCTGCTTTAGACAAGACATTATTCAGATATGTTAACAATGACAATGTTTAACTATTTCAAATGATCGTAAAAAACAAAAACAAAACCTTGCACAAAAAAAAAAATTTTATCATGACAATTTTCAAAGATTTCAATGATTTTCAATGATCATCATAAGATTTAATCTGTTGTACCTTATACACAGTGGAAAACACAAGGCTAAATATAGTCTGCATTATATTAAGCAACAGAGATTATGTCACTCACAGGGTCATTGACTCTTTCGGAGAAGAGAGGAGGTTGGTCAGGGAATGCAGCCAATATGAGCTCCACCAAGACGAGCACAAAGTATGTGTAGAATGTGACATCACGAAACACATTTATATTGGCACCCTGCAGAAACAAGAACACATTTAAGGGTTATGACGGTTTCAACATCTTCAGCCATTCTGGAAAAATGCTGAGTAATATGTTGCAGATGAGTAAGGAGATACAGTTAACTGGAACAAGTCAGTACTAGTGATGGGCTTGGGCGTGTTCGCAGCTCCACGTGCCAAGCCCACCAGGAAGCGGACTGCGCGCAGCGCCAATCACAGGCACTGAGACATTTCCCAATCTCTGCAGCTGCGGACCGGAAACATGTCTCAGTACCTGTGATTGGCACTGCGCGCTGTCAGCATCCTGGCGGGCTCGGCACGTGGAGCTGCGAACACGCCCGAGCCCATCACTAGTCAATACGACACAGTTACTAAGGAGTTAAAATATTTAAACAGCTTTTTTGCACCCCCAAAATTGTTGACCCTATAAATGTAGAAGCTAGATCTGTTTCTTACCACCTTGGAGCTGCACTTTTCCAGGTAGAGCAGAAATATTTTAATTCTTACTGCAATATTAATCATTAGATTAAAAGATTAAAATATGCAACATGGAAAGTGGTAACTCTTTGTAATGGATATTAAAAAAAAATTGAGCTCAAGTACAGATCTACCAGAGTACTACCAGAGTATCTGAGTATCTGAAGACATACTGTGGCTGATTTACTAAAAGCAAAATAGGCTGTTCACGAGCAGTGTAAACAGGGAACGGTTCGAGCTGCTTTCTTGAAGCATTTATAGCAAGCACCCTTCAGCTCCAGTTTGTAAATGTTACACATAAATCATAATGGAAGTGCTAATTATCACTTGATCAAACAAGCCACTTGCAGGTTTTAACAAGCCTCAAGTTGTGTTGAAGCTTACTGACAAATGATATCAAACTTGTTTAAAGCAACAATACTTCCATTAACCACTTAGTGATGGAGACGTACACTGTACGTCTCCATCACTAAGTGCCCAAATGACCGATCACGTATGTGTCTGACCGCAAGATCGGGTGTTTGACAGTGAGAGCTGAGCGGTATTTACTGCTCTTGCCGTCACTGTTTGACAGCTGGTATAGATAGGGATTAGGAAATCCCGATGTATACTGGCTTTTTTCTAAATGTTTCAGCAATAGAAAACAAAAACATTGGTTTTCAGCAAAATACATGTTTATTTTGCTGAAACAATGTTGCAGGCTTCTGATCGTTCTGGGAAAGATAAGAAAGGCTTTAGTGACATCCGATCCTGAAATGCTGCAGGATCCAGCGTCACTGAGGTTAATTATCAAGCAGTCATAGTGAGATTAATTTACAAAGACTGCTTGATTTATTTAAATAAAATCAAAATGTAAAATTAAAAATAGTGGAAATTGTAAAAAAAAAAAAAAAAAAAAAAAATTAAAAAAACATTTTTAAAAAATA